ATATATATATATATATTTAATATTATTTTGGATTTTTCTCTTTAGAAAGGAAAATGAAGTTTTATCTTCTTCTGTTTTTTTTTTCCTTTTTATTTTTGGTTATAAAAATTGAATGAAGTATTATCGTCAATGACTATGATTGATAATTAGATGAAAATTTCCTTACACAACCATGTGAACAAAATAATGTGGGTGGGTCTTTATAAGGCTTGGTGCCCCTTTTACATGTGCATGTGGAGTTTGTCAGGAACACACAGCATTTTTCTACGAAGAAGAAAAAAAAATATATATCAGATAAAATATTTTATCTAAATTAAAAGGATAAGAGAAACATATAAAATTTGTATTGTAATGCCTTAGTTTAGCACCAAAATCAAAAATAAAAATTATTAGGAGGGGGAAAGTGGATTGGTGAACTGGAAGAAAGCTTGCATGGTCTGAGATTGGTGGATCTTTCAAACTTTGGGATATTTTTTATTTTTATTTTTGGTCGACCAACGACAACGATATATGTAATATTTTGTTTGATTCAGCTAGCTTAGAGACTTCAATAGTTGCCGAGAGACTGATACATACATAATCGTACGTGTTCCATGCCAAGTTGAATATGGATTTAAGTTTCTCCACATACGAAGGACCACATTTGTGAATCTACCAACACTAAATATGGTTTTGTCATGTGAATTATAGTTTATTAGAAGAGTGGCTATTAAAAAACCATAGTATTCAAACTTGTTGGATAATGTGTCTCGTACGTATTAATTTGTGTGTGTGTGTGCATATATGTATTTGGGATATATACGTCCACAAGGTAAGGATGATCAACTATATATATAATATTGATCAAAATAAGTACTAATAAGTAAGAAAAGATTATAGATCGAGGCCCTTTAACAAAAAAAAAAAAACAGATTATAGATCGACACAATTTATGCACTACGCTATGTACTTTGGTATATGATTTACATGAATTTTGTATTGTATACTGTATCCCATCTCATTTATAATAATAAACAAGCCTTTAACAAAAAAAAAAAAAAAAAAAAAGAAAAAAAAAAATGATGTAAACTAGGCCATCTTCGTTGTTTGTTTGATTCTTTCGATTAAAAGAAGACCAATAAATATCATGAAATTAAAGGAACCTATGTACATGTTTCCTATAATTAGATGGCTACTTAAGATAATAATTGTGCAAAGGAAATCAAGTAGAAGAAGTAGCCTAACTACTTTTACTCATACATCTCTTTCCTGTTGTTAAGATGAGTATGTGTCAAATCAATACAATTAGTTTATAGCCAGACATATATATATATATATATATATAATTACTCATAGCTAGCCCTGTTAAAATTTGTGATAATTCGATGCTCCTATATCCTAGTAGTAGTATTATTTAGTGAATGATGCTTCAAAAATGTTGAGGACAGAGCAAGCGATATTTTGATGGGTTCTAAGATAATGAAGAACCTATTAGATCGATCGAGAGAAGTTGATTACTACTTTTATGATTATTGTATTTGAAAGAAGTTTAGTCGGTTGCTAATTAAATGTGTTATAAATAAATTGCTTAAGATGATGTAATAACTTTTTGCATGTGAATAGTTTAGAAACTAAGGAATCTATCAATGCAGAGGATTATAATAAAATGATGGAGGAGGAAAAGTATTATTAATGTGTGTAATGAAGTCGTCGTCGTCGTCTGTCTTGTAGTTATATATATAAAAGTATTTTGTCATTGGGTTTGATTTGAGGGTTTAGGTCCTTTAAATGTACTAATCACAAAAAGCTTTTGTGTGGGCATATGATATCACGTGCTTTGTTCCACAATTTGCTGTGAACCCAACCCAATGTGGGGTTTGTTTGTGACTTCTTCCTTCATCTTTTTATTTCTCTTAAAAACATTATGACAATAATATTGTTTGGTAATTATATATTTAAGAAAAAAACAAAATTTAATTGATTTGACCTTGGAAGTACCGAGGAATATACTATTACACATGGCTATCTCTATCTATTCTATTCGTTGGGTTTGGTTTCAAATATTGTACCATTTATATAATCAACAATACTATTAAGCAAAGTATATTATCAAGCGCGTTACCTTTATTTCATATTTATGATGACTTTGATGGTTTTTTTAATTTTATTATTCTTTGTTCATTTTTCAATTGATGTACCATGGGTGGGTTAGTTCTAATTGACCCTCATACTATATTTGGTAAATTTCGCAGTTATATTCAAGTTTACTGTTAGAAATTATGGTAAATTCCCATGCAGTGTCTTCTAGGTTGATGTAATTTTTTAATTTATTCTTTTAGGTTAAAAACAGAGAAATTTACGTTACCAATTCTAACAATTACAATGCCATGCATGAGGAGAAATGTACGTATGACGTATCAGTTGATTTTTTAATAACAATTTTGTTATATATATCACTACCAAAGATCTTTTCCTTTTTTTTTTTTCTTTTTTTTTTAACACGATCTTTTCCTTTTTATTATACGTTTTCGAAACTGAAACGAGAGAATGTGTGGATACAAATTTAATGATGAATACCATTTTTGGAAGGAAAGAAAAATATACGTTTTTCCAAGTTGATTTATATGTATCCATCAATCATAAAATATATTGCTAAGACATAAAATATATATATATATATATATATATATATATATATATATATCATTTTCACAAATAAAACTTATATGAATGATTCGTGTGGATGTTAGTGTGTACAAATGTTATAAACTGAATGCAAAAATAGACAGTAATATGTTAAACGTTAGAACGTGGAAATGAGTAAATACAATAAATTAGGTAATATTACACGGGGAAAATGCTCACTAAATTCCCCAACTACTAGAAATTAACACATTTATTCTCTAACTATTCTCTGGGCAAGTTTATTCCTCAATTTATTATTGACTTAACAGTTTTAGACATAAAAATAGTCAACACAAGATACTTAACAGAGACGTTAAATATCACAGTTAATTAAACAAAAAAAAAAAAACAAAGAAATCCCAAATGTTCTGTGTTTGACTAGTAATGTATCTTTTCATTGAACTAAAGAACACAAACTTCATTGAACTAAAGAAAGTTCACTAAAACCCACCACATCATGCATAAAGTCTTACACGAAAATATAAACTACAAACACCAAGTCTGAGACAAAATCTGCTAACACAAAGTCTTAAAACATAATAGAATCTAAAGAGAGAAGCCGAATCTTCCTTGTGATGATCCACTTTGTGAAGTTCCTGCTTGAGAATAGTCTCCAACATGAGATGATTCTCCCTGGAAATTAAGAACCAAGCAAACCATTAATATCTAGTATTAGTAAGAAGCATTGGAAACCATGAAATAACTAACACGTACTTTTTTTGGACGACCTCTTGGTCTTTTTGCTTGAGGAGGTGCAGGCGGATTAGAACA